TTGATGCTGATGATGCTTATGATGATGATCATGATGCTGATTCTGATGATGATGATGCTGCTGATGATGATGATGCTGGTGATCATGATGATGGTGATGATTATGATGATGATTCTGCTAATGATGATGACGATGATGATGATGACGATGATTATGATGGTGGTGGTGGTGGTGGTGATGCTGATGATAGTAGATGTGGTGGTGGTGATAATGATTCTGTGGTTGATGATAATGATGATGATTATGATGATGATGACGATGCTGATGACGATGATGACGACGATGATGGTGATGCTGAAGATGACGATGATGATGATGATGATGATGATGATGCTGATGATGATGTTGATGCTGATGCTGATGCTGATGCTGATGCTGATGCTGATGCTGCTGATGATAGTGATGATGATGATGATGATGATGATGATGATGATGATGATGATGATGAGGATGGTGCTGGGGATCGGCCCCATTGGAAGGCAACCGTCTGACAGTCGCCAATTGGGCCAAAGTGCCATTCCTGGGATTTCAACGCCACGAGTCAATGTGACTGTTGTGTCCTGACAATCCCGGTCCAGCACACAATTCCTGGGACTTCAAGGCGCAAGCTTTTTTCTAATGGCTTTCGATCGATCCCGCCACCGTGCCTGGGTTGTGGGTATGAAGCCTATTAGATGTTCGTTGGGATCTCGTGGGAGGCCTCTCGGGGGCCTCTTAGAGGTAAGTTTGAGGCCTCCTGGAGCCCTTTTGGAGGCCTCTTTGGCTGTCTTGGGGTGGTCTTGAGAGCCACTTGGACCGGCTTGGAGCGTCGAACAGCAGAAAAGATGAGAACGCCAAAATCCTCTATGATTTTTGCCTTTTGATTGTTATGACGCCACGATCCCTTCGTGGAGAGACATTCTTGGGGATACAAAGCAGGAGTGGACACGAAATTGCGACACATTTGTATCCAGAGCTTTCTCGTACACTGGCCTCCCAGAGTGGCGCGCCGGCATCCTCCGTGATTCCTTGCGCCACAGTGGAGCACCAACACATTACCAGCAGGGGCCGCCGAGAAAGAGGCTGCGAGCCAAAGTGAGCCCTTCGGTCGATTGACATTTTTCCAAGGAGGGCCACACATATTCAAAAACATCTGGCTTGCCATATTGCCAGAAGATGTGTTGCAAACAAACAGCCGAAGATTTCGCTGGTTATTTGACTCCTAAATACTAGTAGATACATGTTGTGGTCGTACGACGGTAAGACTTCCAGTAACATACAACATATAGTACAACATTGAACACATATCATTATGTTATCTTTGTGGGTTTCGTGCTCGACTTGATTCGGATGACCCCGTCGTCTGGAGGGGCAGGGACTTCAATCGGGAAGCGGGCGCATTAGCCAATTTAACCAAAACATCATTATTGTAGACCCTGATCTTCACCCTAAAATTCTAAAACAACGCACATATCATGATGTGGAGTGATGGAGCGTACCGGGAGCATTCAACGGAGGGCTCTTGGGAAATGATCGTCAGAAGAAGCGACCTCCATATCTACCAGTGTTGTATGCTTCTGCGCGTGAACCACCTTTTCAAGACAGCCTCAGTGCGGAGGCCCGCGGTCTCCAGATTGGGGCGGCAGTGCTCTCTGGTCTCATCCTCGGCTTGGACGTCGCGGCAGATAGACTGAGTGCTATGCGGTCTTCTTAGGCACAGCAGGAGTCAAAGGAAAAAGGAAAAAGGGGTCCTCTTGGGAGACCTCTTGTATGCCTCTTGGGGCGTTTTGGAGGCCTCTTGGGCCATCTTGAGGCCATCGTGGGCGTCTTGGAACGATTTTTCGGCAACTCGGGGCTCTCTTGGACCGTCTTTGGGGCCTCTTGGGGCCCTCTTGGCCCGTCTTTGGGCCCTCTTGGCTCATGACAAATCACGCGACAAGACGTGACAAGACGCGAGAAGCCCCGAGAGATTCGAGAGCGATGGATCCGGGCCCCTGTAAGAATCCTCACGAGTGAGGAGTGAGGCTCAAGGGATTAGGCAAAGGACCTGAGGACACGCCCACTCCCTGGCCAAGGGCACGGTGGCGGATAACGAATGTGGGTGGCGCTACGGCGAGAGCCACATTTAAGAAACGAGGCGCCGTCCATTCTTGAGACTGTTGCGACCTTTTCAGACCAATGTGCGCGGCGCTATGGCGATCCATTTTTGAATATGCTGCGAGCTTTTGAGACGAATGTGGGCGGCGCTAAGGCGAGAGCCACATGTTGAAAACGAACTGGCCTCCATCTGTGACGCTGTTGCGAAGTTATATGACGAATGTGCGCGGCGCTCGGCCAATAACCACATTTTGAAAACGAACCGCCCTCCATCCGTGAAGCTATGCAAATTTCAAGCTTCAGCATCATAAATGGTGGGGGATTCTCATTTGAAGCGCCCAGCCCGCCCTACCGACACGTCTGGGGGTGCGACAGGGAGGAGTTGCTTGTAAGGAAAAGCGATGGAGAGCGGGGGTTCGAGGCAGGCCCGGGAACGCCACGTTTTTGCCAAGCGACTCGGAGCATCGGGGGCCCGAGGTCGCGGCGCTGCTTTGTATACCCAGAGAACCGCGGAGAGCCAGAGAACTGCGGAGAGCCCCCAGATCGGCCCGATAATTGCGGAGCTGCCATGGATACCCAGTGCTTCGCGGCGACACGTGAGGATTAATATTATCTCAGTAGGCCTTGTTCTAAAATAAGCTGCGTGTATGCGAAGCGTCCTCTCATAATGATTCGCATTGTGATCTCGTCTCACCTGTCAAACGCAATCGTCATCAGATGATGTTTGCTTCGACCGGCCAGTTGAGTTCACAGCGGCCTGCTGACGCAAGAGGTTTGCGAAGCGTTCGAGGTGCATCCCGTGAACACGTGAACTGTGTGCACAGGCTTCGTGCTCCAGTTGCCGCACGATGCCTTAGACGTTCTAGTCTCGGTTCGATAATGAGCCTGCTTGGAAACCAGTGGAAGCGAGCTGAAAGTTTGTTATTTCGGCACCGACAAGGCTCCCTCTGGGCTCCGGGGCCTCGGACTCTGAATTTTCAAGGCCATCTTGGGGCTCCCAGGCACTCCCAGCGCTCTCTTCAGGTTCATGGGTCTTCAATGGGCTCCATCTCTTGTCTTCCTTGGGCCGTCTTGGGGATCATTCGGCTTGTGGTGGGGCGATCAGGGCCTCGTTCTTGAGGCTCCGAGGCCCTTTCTTGGGCTTTCTCTTGGCTTTGTCTGTTTTTTGCTTGATCGTCATTACCAATGTTGGGCCTGTCGCGTGCTGTCCTGAGACCTCGCGGGCTGTTGTGTGGACTTCTGGCGGCGCTCCAGGCTATCTTGGGCCATTCTGTTCTTGTGCATCCTGTGGTGCTGTTTGTGTTGGCCGACGGAGGGTCTCATGCTGTTGAGGGATGTTCTTCTCGCCTAGGCTCGGCTGTACGGCGTGCTCCCTGTATCTCTCGACCTCGTCCCTGGGATTTGTTTTTTTTTGTCGCGGGTCTTCTTCTGTGGTGGGCGCCCGAACAAGAAAAGAAGCCCAGGGCGGCAGCAGTTGAACATAATCTATCAGGTCTCTGGAGGTCTCTGGAGGCTCCTGGTGGCCCCATGAGGTCGCTGGATGCCTCCAGAGGCCCAAAGGGAGGCCCAAAGGATCGACAGTTTTGGATGTGGATCCTCACCCCCTCGACCTTCGGAGAGCTTCGACCGCGCGCTGGTGGCCCGTCGTGGGGGCTTGGCGGGCCTGCTGCGGAAAAACTGCAACTCCTTCAGCGACTGCGCCCTCTTCTACCTTCTGGACGTCAGGCTGGAGCCCGCATACAGGCAGGGCTGTCCACGATTCGCGTCATTCGAGGTTCGAGGTTTTTTTGGACGTCTTTGAGCCTTGTTTAGCATCCGAGATGCCTCTCGTCGCCTCAGCTGGATGCCCCTCGAGTCAGGGTGGACCGCGAAAGGGGTCTGGCGATTGATTTTGAGGGAATGTTCCCCAGATCGTCAACGTCCCGAAAGTTTCAGTGATCGAATCCCCCCTCATCAGAAGGACCCCCAAGGGCCACTCGAAGAGTGAGGGTTTCCTGGTGGGGGTGCGCGACAAATGGGGGGGGGGGGTGAAGAAAGTTGCACCTTTCGCCCCCTGAAGAGAGTTTCCTACACCTTTTGTCCCCTGAAGGTGCCCTAAAAGGGGCCCCCTGGGGCCAAGAAGGGGTACGACAGGTGCACGTTTCTCCCCCCAGGTATCGCCCTCCCCAGTAAACAACGCCCGACGGTACCTCTTTTGTGATATTTTTTTCATTGTTTTGCCGATCGGCGCGGGCCCTCGCACGCACCCCCCTCCCTCCCCCACCATGGAGTAGATCTTGGCTGTTTTTGGCGCCTGTTTCGAGCAGGTGGAGTCCCCCAGAAGGCCCACTGTTGCAAACAGTCGCACTGAGCAGAGGGCAGAGGTCCAGAGCCAGACCCCCCCCCTCCCCCCCCTTTCGCTCAGTGTCGAAACGCCGAATAAGAAAACGCTCACTTTCACCGTTTCCAGAATTCCACCCGTCAGGAGTTGCTTGGCATCTATCGAACTTCGATGACTTAACGCGCCGCCGCCGAGGGCAGCGCCCTCTATATGCGCGGTCAGGATCCGATTGGAAGGCTCTGTTGTGCGTGCGATTCGATCGACCGATCTTCGATATTCATCAGTCGTTGAAAGTAGGTATTTTTGGATTCCCAGATTCCAATCTACTTTAGGCACCTTCCTACTTCAATGATCGAATGGCTTCACCTTTTCCGTGCTCTTTAGGGGGCGGGCGGACACCCAATCTAGTGTCACGCCTTCCTACTTCATGATTTCTACCTGCTTCTTCCGACCGATGGGTAGGGCAGCTTTAGGACAGCCACCAGGGGGCTGGAGAAGCTGGGCCACAATTTGGACAGGAACGCCAAGATCATCCAGAGGGTCTCCGGCGGGGAGTACCTTCCGAACGGCGAGGCTGACGGCTTTGACGTCGAGGAGGTTGTGAAGAACATTGATGATGCCAAGCAGTCACTTGGAATTCGTTGAGACTCCGTCCTCCTACCTTCTCCTCCCGATGCCGCCTCCTCCTCCTCCTCTTCCTCCTCCTCCCACTTATCGTCCTCCTCCTCCTCTCCCTTCACCTCCCTCCCTGCCGTGCTGAAGGTGGGGGAGTACCAGATCTTCCACGCGGCGGCGAACTCCAAGGGCCAGTACGGAGTCTCGCTCTGGGTCAACCTGAAGCTGCGCCACCAGGGCGCCCCGACCCTCGAGGCCAAGCACATCGCAGTCCTGCATCAGGACCCGCGCAGGATGCTTGTCAGCATCCGCTCCAGCTTGCTCAACATCGATGTGCTGGTGGCCCATGCGCCCCACAGCAGGACGGCGAAGGAGCTACGAGATCGCTGGTGGCAGCAGACCCACCAGATCCTCAAGCAGCATCGCCCTGAAGGCAAGCACTACCTGATTTGCCTGATGGATGCGAATGCCAGGGTCGGCCAGCACACCACAGCTGAGATCGGCAACCACGGTGCCGCCCAGGAGAACGAGGCAGGTGCTGCGCTGAGGCACTTTGCGGCCAAGGTGCCAGTGTGCTTGCCAAGTACCCTGCTCCCGTCCAGAGGAGGGCACCATGCGACCTGGCGCTGCCCAGGGCGCGAAGGCCAGCGAGGTCACGAGCACAGACTCGACTACGTGTGCATCTCGCCAGGCCTCCTCCAGTACGTCAAAGATCAGGGAGTCAACCACGACATCGAGCTTGCCATCTCGCAGCAGGATCACTCCCTGGTTGACCTTTTGCTTGAGCTTCCACCGATCGAAGCAGCGCCCCATCCTCCGACGTGGAAAGGAGTCGCCGTGGACAAGGCCAAGTTCGGAGTGCCAGAATGCAGGATGCAGTTTGAGGAGTTGACGGGCACCATCCCGGCCTTCCCCCTGGACCTACATCCCAACGACCACGCCGACCAGCTGGACAGGGCAGTCAGGGACGCCCCGCCCCCCGCCCCCCCCCCCCCCCCCCCCCCCCCCCCCCCGGCCCCCCCCCCCCCCCCCCAAACCCCCCGCCCCCCCCCCCCCCCCCCCCCCCCCGCCCCCCCCCCCCCCCCCGCCCCCCCCCCCCCCCCCCCCCCCCCCCCCCCCCCCCCCCCGCCCCCCCCCCCCCCCCCCCCCCCCCCCAGGCCCCCCCACCCCCGCCCCCCCCCCCCGCCCCCGCCCCCCCCCCCCCCCCCGCCCCCCCCCCCCGCACCCCCGCCCCTGCCCCCCCCCCCCCCCCGCCGCCCCCCCCCCCCGGCCCCCCCCCCCCCCCCCCCCCCCCCCCACACCCCCCCCCCCCCCCCCCCCCCCCCCCCCCCCCCCCCCCCCTCTCCCCCCGCCCCCCCCCACCCGCCCCCCCCGGCCCCCCCCCCCCCCGCGGAGTGACGGTCCCGAAGGACCCAGTGAGGGCCAAGCCTGCATGGACGTCAACCAAGTCAAGGGATCTCTGCTCGCTGAGGTGCAAGGGCACCAAGAACGCCAGCAAAGTCCAGTCCAGGTGCCAGGTCTTCATGGTCAGGGTGCTGTTTGCGGCGTGGGCGCTGATGCCCAAAGGGGACCTCTGGCTCAACCTACGTACGAGGGAGCTGGACTGCTCGGTCCGCCTTGGCCCTACCTGTGCCAGAGTGGTGCCGGAGCTGGCTCCTGTCCTTCAAGGATACCGTGAGTTGTTGGACGGCACGGCGCTTCTCATGGCCAAGCAGTTTCCGAGGCCACAGAAGTACACTCGCGTGCACAGGCTCCCAGATAAGCATGGAGGCAGGGTACAATTTCACCAGCAGGCGACCAGCAGGACTGGACATACGTCAAACTCCCAGGAGGCTCGCGGCATAGGGCAAGGGAATGGCACTCATGCTGCAGAGCAAGATGCCGGCCAACATGCACATGAGAAGGGCCTCCTTGACGCCAAGAAGAATGACCATGCCTCCTCCAGTCCCATGCTTTGCCCGTGGCGGGTCACGATGGATGGCTTCCACGACCCGTTCGACGACCTGGAGGATGAGGAGGAGGCCCAGCCCACTCTCTTCCAGGGTCAGTGCCTCCCAGAGGAGGTGCAGCAGGAGGAGGCGGGCAGTCCGACGATACGAGCCTGCTCGACGGCATCGGCGGAGTCGACGGCGTCAGGCTCAGGGAGCAGAGCGTCCTCTCCCACCTCAGGTTCGGGGAGCGGTGCCAGCACACCAAGTGGCCACTGCAGAGAGGACACTTGTGAGCCAAGGACGGCAACGGCCTCAGCAACTACTCCAGCATCCCGCGGGGCCTCGAGCTCGGCTACGGGTACGGCCGCACCTTCAAGGGCCCCCTGGACCTTGAGTACGGCAACTGCCTCGGCTACCTCACCACCATCCCGCAGTGATTCGGGAGCGGCAAATGCTGCGGACGCAGCATCAGCATCGTTCAGTGCTCTGTCTACGGCAGCAGCAGAAGGTGCTGCCCAGGTCCCAATGACATGGGTAAGGTGGCCAGCGACTCCAAGCAGCACCGCCACCGACCTGGAGGACCAGGTCATGACCCGAGTCCCCCATGTCGGGGACTACGTGGGGCGCGCTGGTGGCAGATGGTGTTTGGACCATAGTGACGGCATGCTGCAACCCAAGCACGACGAGCTCTTGTTTAGTCAAGCCGTCGGGGAAGCATCGGACAACCTGAGTAGGTCCGGCACCAGAAGCGGCCAGCCGCCTGCAGCACAGCAGGGAGGAGCTCAGCAGCCGCCAGCGGACATGTGCGACCCGCCTTGGGAGGACGAAATTGATGAGGAGGAGGACCTGAGGGAGCACATGGAGGAGCGCTCCAGCTTCTGGGTCTACAACTTGGTGGAGGCGGAGGGCAGCCACAGGTCATGGAAGGTGTGGTGTGTACCCGTCGTCAAGCATCTCCTGCGCCGCCACCCTGCGCGGCTACGTTCCATCCAGGACACCAGGGACGGCGAATCCAGGCAAATCGACCGCATCGCAGAGGACATCTGCGAGGCTGCATGGCGCAACACGGCCGACCGCAGGGCCGGGATGATCAACTGGATCTGGTGGCAGGATCGCCAAGGTGAGCATGACAGCAGGGACAGGCTGGTGGCGGAGCACTGGCGCACCCTGGACAACATCCGTGCTGAATTTCGAGGTCTATTGGGGAGGCATGCTCCGCCTGAAGGTACAAGGCGGCGTAGGCGACTTGAAGCACCAGATCCACCAGCAGGAGCAGGTGCTGACGAGTGGCGAGGTGAAGCTGATGGTGGCAGCCGCGTTTTGCCGAAGTCAGAGCGGGACGCCTCGGTGCTCCTCGAGCCGAGAGCGTCCCAAGTCGTCGCCACTGGTCTGCCGGATGCCTCGTTTGGCCACGTTTTGCCAAGGTCAGAACCGCCAGCCCCGGTGCTCCTCGAGCCGAGGGCTGGCTACACGTCGCCACGGCTATCGGATTCGCGCCCAGGTGCAAGGATCCAGCATAGAAGGACGTGCTCCCTTCAGCCGGCCAGGGTGCGCCCAGACGGACACCTCTTCCTAGAGCCGATGGTACTGAGGCCGACCCAGTTCACCATGAACCTGCTGAAGGATGCCGTGTCATCCTGGACGGAGCTCCTGCCCGACCTCTTCAGCATGACTACGAGGCTCCTGCAGAAAGCAGCGGCTCTACGAGAGTGGGCCTGGCGAGTTTCCCTGCGCGCAGTCCAGAGCTCGCTCAAGGACGACGCCAACATGCACTACGCGAGGATCGCAGCCGACATCGGTGACGCGTGGAGCAACAGCCAGTCCAAGCGTGCCTACGCCAGGCTGCGAGGCATGGGGATCGGCTCGGAAAAGAAACGCATGCAGTCCACCTTACCCATGGTTCGCAAGTTGGACGGCAGCATGGCGCAGGACGCCCACGAAGCAGGAGATCGGTGGGTCCAGCACTTTGCCTTGGTCGAGTGTGCGGCAGATGTGCCGATCTCTGAGGTTGAGATGTTCGACGGGTTCTTTGAGGAGCTGCCGCAGAACCACACTCTCGAGCTGGCGTGCATCCCCTCGCTCACGGAGCTGGAGAGGGCCCTCCACGTGGCCAAGGACACAGCAGCAGGGGTCGATGGCTTCCAGGGGCGCTTCTGCAAGGAGTTTGCGAAGCCGCTCGCCAGGGCCTACATGCCGCTACTCACCAAGTTCTCCATCATGGGCGTGGAGCCGGTGCAGTGGAAGGGGGGCTACTACCGCCACCACCACAAGAAGAAGGCCATCGAGGAGTGCGCCAACCACAGGTGCTTCGCAGTCACTGCCACCATCGGCAAGCGAGCCCGACACTGCATCCGTGAGCGGTTGTCGCCGCACATGCCCAGTCTGGTGGGCCCCAGGCAGTTTGGAGGCATCCAGCGACGGGGCACACAGCACGCGCTCATCCTCATACGGCTCCTCCAGGCCACGGCAATGGCCAAGTCTACCACGTTTGCCGCCTTCTTCCTAGATGCCAAGGACGCGTTCTACTCGCTCGTGAGGGAGCTTGTCCTGCACACCACCACGAGCGAGTCTGGCCTCGACGCCATCTCGAAGTCCACGGGTGTGCCCGAGGACGCGCGCCGACCCCTCAGGCAGACGATTGGAGGGCCCCCAATCCTAGAGAGAAAGGGTGTGTGTGGGCACCTCCGAGCGCTGATCTCCGAGCAGTACAGGGCCTCCTGGTTTGTGTGCGAAGGCTCCGACCACGTTGCCCTTGGCACCAAGTCGTCCATCCCAGGTCAGCCCCTGGCGGACCAGATCTACGAGATAGCGATGGGTGAGATCACCGAGCTCATCGAACAGCGACTCCACGCTGCAGGGCTAGGCGTCTGGGTAATGGGCACGGACTCCAGGTCCCTGGCGGACCAGCTCGACAGCGAGGACGAGTGGCAGGAGCTCCCGTCTCACAGCGTTGCCTTCGCGGACGACGGCAGCTTCTTCTACCTCGGCGAGGCCAGCGGTGCTGCAGAGGCCCTGGCCCTTGCGGGCGGCATCATTCTGGATGCCTACGCCGAGTATGGCCTACGGCTCAACCTGGACCCAGGCAAGTCGGAGGCACTCTTCATGTTTGCGGGGAAGGGCTCCAAGGCTGCC